GTGTAATTTTAAATACGATCTCGTCCGTGCAGCACAGTGCATAAACTTTCAATGTTGTAATCAATATTTTTCTAGTGGGAAGTCTTTCAAATGAGAAACAAACACAGAGAATAGGATCTACCTGATGTAAATAGTCCGTTGCATTGTTATTTTGGCTTCAAATGGTTGTTCCAAAGCTGTCTTATCATAGGTATTTGCACTGCTGCCATTAGTTTGTTTGCTGTGCAAAATGTGATATGTTGCTACCTAGAGTTCAAGTAAAATTTTTCAAGAATTTCCCTACAGCATCAGAAATGTTGTGTAATTGTATTGAATTCTATTTTCGCTTTGCCTTAGTTTCAATGGATAAAAGTCTTAAAATCCAAGGTTAAATATTTCTCGTTCTTCTATCACTGTAAGATTTGGGAGGTCTGCTATTTATTGAAAAGGACTTACTATGTGCAATCTTTAAGTGTATTCACATCTTAAGACCTGGAAATTATATAAATCATTGTTATATATATGATAAAACTCAAAACACCAAGCATCATCAGCAGAATACAATATGTAAAGAAATATTTCGCAAGTGAATACATTGTACAGGTGGCCATTTCAAATGTATTGATGTTAGGTCAGAATGTGAAAATTTCTCCACCTTCACCCAAATTAGGGCACCTTTCTTTTTTCCTGGTCATCTCTACTAAAATGCACCATCTGGCCTTCATGTAGGTGCAAGTCAAGTGTTAACTTGGGGTTATTATGAAGACTTTTCTGTAAAACCAATCCTCCAGATGTAAGGACATACTTGATAAATGGAAAATATTTATTTCTGACATTTAATGATTTATGTTCAGATGTAAGGCCTACACGTAATATCTATTACTGCTTCTTGACGGTTGTGGTCCCACGTGGACAAATGCGATAAATATTGGAAGCATCGCCAGATATTTAATTTATGACTTGGATCACAATTTCAACACAAGATGTTCCAGACGTGATGTCTGAGGTATATTATGTACATATTGATGTGTCAAAACCAGGTGAAATAAACATTGCAAGGATCACATGGTCTTGTTATTGATGATTTCTCATCACATTTTGTACCTAATACAAGCTTTTGTTATAGATTGTCTATAAATAAGAAAATAGTCAAAGTTTGCTGGTTATCTTGAAAAGTGCTGCCATCTTTTTTAAGGTGTATTCTCACAGGGACTACCACACCAGACAGCCAAAGTTCTTAGATGTGATCAGAGTCTTTGGCTTTGTTCACATGGAAAAGTGTGATCACGGTCTGTGCCCTGAATATCCCGCGGCATAATTACTGGCAGCGCGAGCCAGTTACTTTAAGTTACTATAAGTAACTGGCTTGCGCTGCCAGTAATTACGCGGCAGGATATGCAGGGCACAGACCGTGATCATAAGATACTGCGAATAGAAAATAGATTTTTAGAAAATAGACATTCCATGTGAACGAAGCCTTTGAGTGAAGAGTCCTTCTGGTGACATGTAAAATGGTGTGGTTCTAAACGAGTCATCTTAAGTATTCTTCCCTTTTTAAAAGATATTTGATCTTAGATACCAAATGTTGGAGAACACTGATGACGGCTAAATGTTGTCACATACTGTCATTTTTCCTGAAGAGAGTCGGACTCTTTTGAACTCCTTTTCTGTATTTTTATGGTCACTTAGTCTTGCTGCACTTAAGCACCATTACAGAACTGATCAGACTTTATGAACAGTATTCAATTAATCTCTTGCACAGTTTATTCACAGATAATGTACAAAAAAAGGATTCATACACATAAATTTTTATCCGACTCTTTCCACTGTCTCTTTTACATTAAATTAAAAATAATCTATCCAACTGTTTATCATTTTCTTCCTCTTCTCTTTCCCTTTCCACCTCCACCACGCTTGGTATCTTTGCCTTGTTTTCTCTTGATGCTTTTCTTTATGCTTTTTGCTTTCTTGGGTCTTTCTGAATTTGCTTTTTGCCTGAAATATGCAATCCATACAATGTGAACACACTCTGACTGAGCACAAAGCAGATGAATAAGGAATTAACAAACTTACAAGTGAGCAATTATCCCTCCCCTTTGAGGGGTAAAAAAACTTTCTAAAAATGTTTCCAAAGAGTCTAAATTTTACCTCTACTTAACACAAGATATTAACAATAATATTCAAACAATAATTAAAGTAACAAAGTCCCACACTATGCAATAAAACATTCATCCCCAGATGGACTAACACAGTTTCAGCATAGTAGAAGACACTAAACACCACAAATTTAAACGGATCATCGCCTCACCTCTGTTGCTCTTCCTCCAACAGATGCTGTTTCATGGCTTTTGTAACATCGACTGTGGGACCTGCCTTCGCCATCTTGCTGAGAATATCGAGTTGTGCAGATTTTTCTTTTGACATATCTCCCACATTTGGTTCAAACTGAAATCATAGGAGGAGAAAAAAGAAGCTAAATGGTAACCCTTTACACATGACATTTAACATTTTCTGCAGCATGTTTCTAATCCTCCTGAAGTAATCAAACATTTCAATTAGCTAACATATTTGAAAAAATTACATTGCAGGTTTTATCTATAAGATTTCCCCCCAAAAGTTATATAAAAACAGAATATTTAAAAATATATCAAACATCAATTAAAGCTATTAAAGAATTTACCTTTCTCTTTTTGCCTGTATTTTTGACAGGTTTTTCTTTCGGTAGTGAGTCTGTAAACTTTCCTACTGATGCAGTGGACTTTTTGGCTAGCGCCAAAGCTTTTGACAAATGATCTTTGCTGGGGGTATCAGTGGGTGTGAGTCCAACTCCTGGAACTGCAATAACAAGTGTCTGGTGACTTTACATACAACAGATTTTTATATTTCTGCTGAGAAAAAAAAAAAAAAAAGCAAAATCAAGTGTAACAATTCAACACATTGAATTATGATGATCCATTCCCAATAGGTAGTTCAAATCATCCGAGTGTCAGTAGGGCCACAGTTTGTAATTATCAAACAAAGATCTAGGAGTTAACGGTAACAGATCTTCTCTTTGTTTTTCTTTGAACTAACCTTTTAATTTACTAGCTCGTGCAATATTCCTCATTCTCTGCAACTCATTCTTGGCAACTCTCTCAGTTTTGGCTTTCTTTGCCTTTCCAAACTGATCTTCATAAGGATCTGCAATCAGCAAACAGTGGGGTTTTTTTAATGCAATGGCTAAAATTCATCAAATATTTTGCTTCTCTGACAAAAGCACCGCATAGGATGTGCTATTCTTTATGCTGTGAATTTCCATTTTCAATTTGCAAAATTTTCTAATACAGAATTTTCTGATTAAAAAATGATGATATAGATACCAGTTACATTTACTTCTAAATAAGTAACATTTATGATCATGTCTCCCCAGCAGGCATTTCCCCAGGATTTGGAGTACAGGGAGTCCAAAGTATTGTTATGTAATTTGGTCACCAATTCACAGGGAGTCTAACTACAAATATATCACCATTCCGCAAATAATCCATAAGCTGTCCAGTCGTCTTTGAAAATAAAGGCCATCTTTTGAGGCCAGAGACCATCCAAATGATGACTGGACGGCTCTTTGTGAAAAGCCTTGCTCTCCAGACTTGCCTTACCTGCATTGGCTGGCACCTCTAGGACCCATTCATTTAGTTCATCATTGACACGACTCTGATAACCCCATGTTGGCCTCCAGTCCTGAGAATTAGTAATTAACATTCATGTAGTAAACACATAAAAGGTAGAGAAATGAGTGCTAATTACTATTTTAAGTTCCTACAAAATGAATCGCAATTGAACTATATAAAAACAGATATCTCAACAAATTGAATGACAGCTTTACTTAATATGAAAACATTCTATAGAGCTATAAGGTATATCTTTCTCACCTTTATCTCGTCATCCCATACTTTGCGTGCTTTCTTTTTGTTCTGGATACCTTTAAGTTTAGCATACTGTTGCCACTTTGTTTCTGGTTTAGGTTTTGGAATCTGGAAAATTGAAATTAAAATAATAAATTACAAATTACTCACACATCTTACTGAACCAATCTTGATTTTTTAATCTAAAAATCGTTTGAATAAAAATGAAAAATAATTCTCATATCCTTATGACTGAACTTGTTTTAATGTTGGACAGAGTGTCATACGCAATTTAAACAAGTTAAAATGACAACATGATGCATAGTTGCTCACTCGATTTGCAGAAAAGAACCAAGTGTAAAAGGTAATCTCTGTGTGTGTGTGTGTGTGTGTGTGAGAGAGAGAGAGAGAGAGAGAGAGAGAGAGAGAGAGAGTTTACTCACTGGTTTTTCTCTGGGTAATATTGTCTTGGGGGCAGGAAGTTTAGCCACTATAGTGCCTTCCACCCTTTCCACAGGAAGCTAAGAAATTAAGATATTTAAATCAACTGAACAAGTGACTCATTGCATACTTTTACAATATAAATATAAATTAAAAATAATAAAGTTACCATTATGATACATAAAATATTTCTTTGCCTGAAATAAAAATCTAAAACTGAAGATATTTTACACATTTTCATGAGTTCTTTTTGAAAAGATTTGAATATATATCAAGTACTGTAGAAATCGGTGCCAGTGATTGCGAAAGCCGTCGGACCACGGCCATATGCCGGCAAAAGTTCTGTGGGCTGGAAAACCCTTTTAACTCATCGGCCCACATGTCCGACGGACTGAAGTCAGTTTCTTTAACAGACACCTCGCCTCATATTTGAATTTATCGTAAAGCTCTAAGTACGCACTATTCGCAAGTAAAACTTTAACTTGCGCCATACTGGCGCGTTTTGTAATAAAGGTCTACGTACATTATGATGTCGCTTGAAGTGTGCGTAGCGATGGTGTGAAGGCTGACATGTGACCCGTTTCACAAAAAAATGTATCGAAACTGAAACAACTACAGGTCAATGAAAAACGTACTGCTCAAGACTCTGAAAACAGGCCGCTCAAGAAGTTATAATGAATCTCTTTATAACTTCTTGGCCGCTCAAACTGCTTAGACTGGCCACGCGCGGACCTCTGAG